TCCTATTTATGTATTCAAATTTCAGACCAATAATACCTTTTTTTTCTTTGCAATCTATGATTATGTTCAATATTTTCTTTAGACAAAGAAAATGGAGACTTTGGTTGTTATATTACTATAAGTTCATGTTGAGGTAACAATGATTAGTTGGGCATTGTAGTTGCAGTTGTACTCCGTATATGCATTATGTACCTATCATTTGTTCAATTCTGGTTGTACAAGGAATATGAGTAAATGGATTTTACTTTCAAGGTGCATGTGTAAAATGGTTGAGTGCTTTGGCTGTGTGTTATGTCTTTTGAGTTGTGACTGTAAGTTGAACTGCACTTTTTTCCAAGAAATGTTGATTAAGTTGAACTGCACTTTTTTCCAAGAAATGTTGATTGAAGTTACTGTCATTGTTAAGCATAATGTTACAACTTACAAGGTGCATTTGTATTTGTTTATGCTATATAACAGAAGAGAATAAAGAAGGAAATAGACAACAGAACTTGTGGAAAATGATTGACAATTTTGTATATGTGGACAAACAAAGTTAAAAAGAAAAAAATTGAGAATTCACGCACGACGAAACAAACAACATTACAAAACATGTCTTCGTGATCTAACATTTTATCCCTTCACTTACTGTACACAATCCATTCAAAAATACAATAAGCAACCGTCAACGAACAAACAACTCTAAATCCCCTCACCGAAAACCTAAACAAAAGAAGAAAAAAAAAAGTCAAAATCATCGACATTCCAAAACATGTCTTCTTGATCTAAACCGGGAGATGGGCCTATTTTTTTTTATTTTTTTTCACAATTACAAATAATCTGTCTTGTTTTTTGTTTGGTTTTTTTCTGTTTCTGGAGAATTGAAGTTCACTGCAGGAACAAGCATCCATAAAACATGAATCAGGGACAACTGATAAATTAAACACAGAGAAAGTGTTCTACATGAGAGAATCCCAGATTAATCGGGGAAGAAAATGGAAAAGGAGTTGCAACTTGCAAGATTTATTTGTAATAGGAAAAATGTTTTTCAAGGTAAAATTTTTAGGGGGGCAGAAAAGTAGTAACTTTATGAGGCCTTAAAATCGTGATTGATCCGAATTTGAGTAACAGTTACAGTATCGATTCGGATAAAATTGGTAATTACATAAAAAAAAATCGATCTTCGGACAAACAAAATTTACAGCAATAACGAACCCCCAAGTAGGAATACATTAAAAGTAAAAGGAGCCAGAGATTTGAAGGCACTTAAAAAAACAATGGGGATCGATGCTTTTGGTCAATTAAACAAGCAAAAAGGTCGAAAATCACTACAAATAGATCTCCAAAAATTAGATCAAATCACAACGCCCACCAGCTCAAATCCTAACAAAAATTGGACACAACAATCAAATCTCAAATCTTGCATTGGTTACCAAACAGCACCAATTAATTGTTTAGATTAGATCTACCAATATAGTTATTTTTTGCAAGAGAAAAAAAAATCTAATTTCGGCTAAAATACAATAGACAAGAAGCAATACCAGAAAGATATTACCCAAAAAGTTCAGAATTGAACATGATTTGGTGATGGGAAATGGATTAAACAGCAGTGAAACAAATAAACATCTGTAACGAAAAATCAATGCAATAGAAGGACTTACACAGTAATTGGATAAGAAGAAATGGAGGATTGATTGATTGGTACTCTAAATGAAAGAAAAAAATCCAAACTTCCTTGGCGCTTTACAGGTATATATGCATGTTCTGCCAAAACAGTTGAGAACACCAATAGTTGTGGATCTGCCAAATGCCCCAACATCTCCACCACCTCCTTCATCGACGACATTTGAGCTAGGGACTTTTGCAGGCACAACAAGGCCACTATGATATACAACAACGCCTGCTAGCTATCCAATGACTCTCAACTGATCCTCTCGTCCAGCAAATTCAGAAGAGATACATATTATAAATAAGGAGAATATGAAAAAATCAACTAAAGCAAAAATAAATAATAAATCAATTATATTTTTCACATACCAAAATAAAATGAGATTTCTAGCATCTCAAATAATCAAATATCAGGGTCCCAATCATCATCGTCACTACCGTTATTAGAATTGTTCTGAGAACCTTCTTCACTGCTACAATTGTCAACAAAAGTGTCATCCAACTCATCTTCGTTCTCGATGTCATCTAGGCGTACAACCTCACTAACTCCATGTGAGCTTTCTATTATTGTCTCGGCAACATCTGTGGGATCTATGTCCTTCCTATTCAGCAACTCTACGTCATCTAGACTAATGCTAAGCACATCATTTGCATCATTCGCCTGATATACTTCATCTTCCACAGAGAAAATATCATCAACATCCATTTTTTCATCTTGCAACTCATCAACATCATAAACATGCCTATGTTGGAATGGTTGTACTACTCGCCAATCATTTCCTAATTTAGGATCATTAGTGTAAAAAACTTGTCTTGCTTGATTTGCTAGTATGCAAGGATCATTCTCATACCACTTTCTGCTAACTCTAACACTCACAATATTTCCGTCCTTTTGTATCCCTGGTCTTTTGTTGCTCCCAAGATCAAACCAATCACATTTGAAAATGGTAACATGTCTATCTTTCACATAATCAAGTTGAATTATCTCGCTCAAGATCCCGTAAAAATCAATGAAATCTCCTCCATGGTTACCTTCTACTATCACCCCACTATTCTGAGTTTTACGCCTATCATCACGTTCCTTAGTTAGAAACCTTACTCCATTTACAATGCAACCGGAATATTTTCTCACACATTTTTGAGGTGCACATGCCAGGGCATATAAAGACTCGTGTGATTTAGATGGTTCTTCATGATATAACAAGGTCATCTGAAAAATAAAAATAAAATTTTTAAAAATATAATGGAGTTAACTAAAAATACAATAGAGATATATAATTAACAAGATAACTTTACATGTTTTTTGAACCATGCAGGAAATAGCTCTTTATGGCTTTTATCTATATTTTCACAATCACCCAATAGAAGTGCCTCCTTGTGCTTCCTACAACAAATAACAATATATATGTGTTAGAAAATTATAAATAAATATGTTGTCTCTTGTGCGTATGATATAATCAGACTTACTCAAGATATGGTTCAATCTCTTCACAATTTTGAAAGACAAACCATTGAATCATATTAAACTCCTCTTCTGACAATTCCACAAAGCTTGCTGCTCCAAAATGCCGACATTTTTGTGAGAAAATCGATAGGCTATCATCAATCATGACATCAGCATTTCTCTCATCTCTATTAAATCTAGTTTCAATTCCACGCAAATACATAGAACAAAAAGTTAGACACTCTTTTGCTATGTACGCTTCTGCAACTGAACCTTCTGGATGAGCTTTATTGTGCACGGTTTGCTTTAAGTCACCTAAGAATCTGTAAAAATTAATAAAAAATATTTTACATTACAATCAATCAAAACATTATCCAAATTTATAAAGATAAGGGATCCAATAGTTTAACTTATTACCTTTCAATGGGATACATCCATCTAAACTAAACGGGGCCACCGAGCAATGCCTCATATGGTAAATGAATAGAAAGATGAACCATGACGTCAAAGAAAGCGGGAGGGTATATCTTTTTAAGTTTACACAATATAATGGCTATATCTTCTTTCATTTGTTCTAGTTCAATTTTTTTCAGCTTCTGGCAGCACAAACGTTGAAAGAAATGACCCAACTCTGCTAATACATCACACACTTCCTTATTTAATGACCCCCGAATTCCAGCGGGAATTATTCTTTGTAAGAGTACATGACAATCATGGCTTTTCAATCCAGATATCTTTTGATCACGCGAACTCACACAACGAGAGACATTTGATGCATACCCATCTGGAAATTTAACGGACTTTAGAAACTCACAAAAATCCTGTCTTTCTTTTTTATTCATAACATAACATGCAGCAGGCATATTATATTTTCCGTCACTTCTCTTGGTTAAGTGCAGCTCCTTTCGAATTTTCATATCTTCCAAGTCTTGTCTTGCCTTGACAGTGTCTTTTGTTTTTGAATCTAAATTCATCAAGATTCCTAATATACTCTCACATATATTCTTCTCAATATGCATTACATCTAAGTTATGCCTTAACTTCAACTTACTCCAGTAAGGCAAATTGAAAAGAATGTTGCGCTTTGTCCAGTTCAATTCCTCCGGCTGTCTTTTTCTCTTTTTGCTGCTATGCTTTCCTGGATTCGTTTTTGTATTCTCTCCAATTGCATTAATATGTCCTCTCCTGTCAAATCTCTAGGTGCTTCGCTATCTTCTCTCTTCCCATTGAATCTCCTACTTCTTCTCCAAGCATGATCTTTCGGTAAATAACGTCGGTGCCCCATGTAACATATCTTATTTCTCAATCTCGAAGAATAAGTTTCCTCGTTACAAACTGGACAAGCCATATACCCTTTAGTACTCCACCCAGATAGATCACCATATGCTGGAAAGTCATTTATTGTCCACAAAACAGCAGCATGCAATTGGAAATTTTCTTTACGGGAAACGTCATATGTTTCTACTCCATTAACCCACAATTCTTTCAATTCTTCAATTAATGGTTGTAGGTAGACATCAATATCTTTTCCTGGTGTGTTCTTCCCTGGAATAAGCAACGACAACATAAAATATGGTTGTTTCAGACAATCCCAAGGGGGGAGATTCAATGGGGCGAGAATCACTGGCCACATGCTATAAGTGGAGCTCAAGTTTCCAAATGGGTTAAAACCATCTGCAGCTAAAGCTAGTCTGATATTTCTGGGATCATTTGCAAACATAGGAAACTCTCTATCAAAGTCCTTCCATGCCATAGAATCTGCTGGATGCCTCATGTAATCATCATCAATGCGTTTTTCTTTATGCCAGATCATCTTATTAGACGTTTTATGAGATATGAAAAGTCGTTGAAGTCTGGGTGTCAATGGAAAGTACCTTAAGATCTTTTGTGGTATCTTTTTGCCTACACCATCATTGACTTTCCACCAAGAAGTTTTGCAAATAGGGCAAATCTCCATTTTCTCGTTCTCTTTCCAAAATAAGGCACAATCGTATTTACAAGCATGGATACATTTATATCCTAATCCTATATCTCGCAAAAATCTTTTGGCTTCATAACAAGAATTTGGAAGTGTCTCGCCATCAGGAAAAGATAACTTCATTAACTTCAAAATCATATCTATTGTTTTATTACTCAGATTATTATACACTTTCAAGTGGAGTAATTGGATGATAAATGAAGTCCTTGAAATCTTTTTACATCCTGGATACGACTCCGTCTTCGCATCCATCATCAATGACTCGAGATATGCAGGAACACCATCTGTACTACTGTTATTATGGCTGGAATTCCTACTAGTTTGGTATTTCTCTGCAAATTCAAATAGCATGTCACTAATACCATCGTCTTCATCTTCAACTTCATCTTCATCATTGTGATCTGATGACTCTCTGTTGATTCCATGACTAGCACTAGCATATGAACTTCCTGGATTATTCGAACGTAGTTCACCATGATAAAACCATGTGATGTACCCCGGATCCATCCCACGCATCATGATATGACTTTCCACTGTTTTTTTATCTTTCATTGATAAATTCAGGCAATCTGTACAGGGGCATCGAATATCACATTCCTTTCCCATATGAGATTCAACAAACTTCATAAATGTGTTTACTCCATCCAAGTAAACTTCAGACCATTTAGCTTCTCGCATCCAACTTTTGTCCATTTCTTGCTCAACCTAAAACAAATCATATAAAAAAATAAGTCATAATGTTTTCTCCCAGATTAAACAAAAAAAAAAANATCTCATTAGAACAATAAAATAGAAGTGTTTACATCCGAAGAGCCAACTAGCTCTTAATACATAACACAAACACATGGGAGAACCACAAAAACAGATTGTGGTCTCAAATTCAAAAATCCTGACATCAACTAAATCCTAAAGAAAAATCATCAATGAGAGCTAAAAGCAATACCAATAGATGAATGATCCCTTCAGCTCCATAAAACAGCAATACACAAAATAAAAAATCACAAGCTACAAATAAACACTATCATATTAAAAATCAATAAACCTCAGTCCACTGACCAAAGGACCTAAACCAAGGCTTATCAATCACTGATTTCTATTCCTTCTGAGATGTTGAAAAGAGTATTCCAGCCATTCAATAAAATAATAAAAAAAAAGAACATGTACCTTGTAGAGACTTGAAATGGAATTGAGAATTTGGGAGGGAGACGAAAAATTGGGACGCCCTTGACTGAACCACCGTGTTCCCCGTACGGTGGTACCACCAAGCTCAGTAACCCTCTCTACTACACAGTACACGCAGGCAGAGGCTTCTTGAAGTGTGAGAGCTCAGATCAGCGGAGGAGACGACTGCGGACCTAGGGTTGGAGAATATTTGGAGGTCAGGGGCGAGTAAGGATTGGGGAAAGATTTGGGTGCTGAGGCGATTAGAATTTTAGATGAACTGAGAAGATAAGAAAATGAAACTGGAGACGAGCGGGGATGCAGGGTTAATTATCTGCCTTCATGTTTTGGCTTTCCTTAAAATGTTTATAAGTTACAATAATAATAATAATAATACAATATTTACTATATTATATGTATAATTTACAATATTGTATGTATAATTTACTATATTGTATGTATAATTTACTATATTGTAAATAATAATAATATTTACAATAATAATAATAATACAATATTTTTCCGACAAGAAAATTTGCCGTTTACGTGGGCCCCGCAGGGACGCGTTATATTTCAGTTTACCAAGAAACAAGTCGGGACGTGTAGACCGTTCCCGTATGATGCCATTCAAGCCATTTATCGAGTATTTCGGAGCTCCAAGCATTTATTTAGAGAGGCTTGAGTTCACAGATGAATAGTAGAAAAATGAACTAATTTGCCGAGGCCGAGTTCGAGCGTTCGATGCTTCATTTTTCTCGATCCTTTCAGTTTTTCGTCTACTCGAGAGGAGGTACAAAGCTTGACTATCTTTTTAATTTATTTCGAGTTTAGTTTGAAGGATATAAGTAAGTTTGAGGTTCTTTGACTTGGTATAAGAGATCGAGATCTTTCTTAGTATAAATTTTAGTATTTTCCGAGCCCAACCTGTTTAGTTTAAGTATACCAGTTTAATTATGGAATTAGTATTATTTTAGAGAACCTTTAGAGTGTTTCTTTATATACGGATAAGTTAACTGATAGAGTCGAGCATCATAAGTATATGAGCATAGTACTTAGTAAATTTATTTATATTTTTATGTTGCTTGCAGATACAGCTACCCAGCACAACACTTACAGTTTTCAAAAGTTTTCAAAAGAAGAACATGTGGGTCGTGGATGCAAACAGTTGCTATTTTATTTGGACATTTATTTATATAGTCTGTATAATAATATGTCACGTTTTTTGGATTTCCGCTACACATTTCCAGTTTTGAACTTCCATGTTATTTATTTATAGATTTTCGACTTAAACCAGTTCAACAATATGAACATGGTACAATTACATGCATGTTTGATTAAATATGTTTTCTTTATATCTAAATCAGTAATTAGACCAAGATTAAAGAAAAATGGACTTTCAGAAAATATAAGTTTTAGTAGCATCCCGAGTTAAGTGCAAAAGATTTCGAAAAATTTATAAGTATTTTTGAAGTAAAGTTGCAAAAAATTTACTCTGATAAGCAGGGTGTTACAAAAGTTGACTTATATAAGATCTATGAACAAGACACATCTAATATAATGATAATTTATTTCTTAATTAGTTGACTTATATAAGATCTATGAACAAGACACATCTAATATAATGATAATTTATTTCTTAATTCACGATTATTTTTCAGCTCTTAGTCGAACTAACAAATTAAGTTTGAATCTCAACTGAAGAGAACTTAAGATCAGTGTTTTAAATACCATTCCGGTATTCACATCGGGCGAGCCAACGGTACGCGGTTCAACCGGTTTTACCGTCTATTTTACCGGTTTCAATAAATATTAAATTAATTTGTTATTATAATATAAATAATGTACAAAACAAACTTTAATTAATACTAAAATTAATTAATATCTAATAACAATGTAAACATATTAAAATTAATTGTACAATTTTTATTTTATATAAATAAATTAATAAAAATATTTTAATTTTTTTTTTTTAAAAAATAGCATAAACCGGTATTTTGGCTGGTAAAATCGATATTTTCTGGTATGAAACCGGTATTTTAGCCAAAACGGTATTTAGCGTGTAACAATATCGATCGGACCAGCGGTATTCGGTTTTAAAAATAATTATTTCATAAGATTATTTATATAAATAAAAAATGCATATGTAACTATAATAAATATGTATAAGTTATTATTGATTAGCTTAAGTATTTGAATGATTTAAGTTAACATAATATTTAGTTAACAATTTTTTGTATATAAATTTTATTATATAAAATATTATGTCATATACCTTATTAACCTTATTAATAGCCTAAAATTCTTTAAAAAATTTATTATATAAAATATTATGTCATATGCCATTAACCTTATTAGCCCAGCCAACACCAAACGCCCAATCCCACTATAGCCTAAAATTTCTATAGTTAGGTAGAAGTTAGCCTCGTGAAATCAGATCTCATCTCCCGATCTGATTTTCCCCTCGAAATCGTTGGCGAGGACGAGGATGGAGGCGGAGATCGTGCGCTATCTAGAGGTCGACGAGTCTTGCATCTACGCCCCACTACCCAAAGCCAGTCCATTTTTATTCACAACACAAAAATGGAGACCCCCACTAACAAAAAGGAAAGGTAATGACGGGTCCTTAATTAGCGGGACAAAAATTTTTGGCGCTCAAAATTTCAGCTTAATTAGGAATTTATTTATCTAATTAGGGTATAGAAACAAAGAGTTTAATGATTTTTGCCCAAATATATATACCCAAATAGGTTTTACTTAGCACTACATCAAAAAAATTAGTTGCGACGCACAGACCTCCCAACAATCTTTTCCTGGTGAAGTTCCTTCATCGTTTATGTATAAAATTTGTGTTTTAACAGACTTTGTATAATCATAATATGTGACTCTATCTTTGCATAATTATAATAGCTGAAAGTGTAAAATTTTGTGTTTCATATTATGTTTCATATTATGATTCTGTGTTTGTATAATCATAATAGCTGAAGGTGTAAACATTTGTGTTTCATATTTTGTTTCATATTCTATTTCATATTCTGATTCTATCTTTGGCTAACCTGTATTCTGATTCATTTTCTAATCTATCTTTTCCTGTTGATGAAGTTTATTTATCTTTCATGTATAAATTTTTTGTTTTTACAAACTTTTTTTCATCTTCTATACACATAAAAGGCAACTAATGTAATGTTTTATTTATTATTAAATCTACATGTGTTATTTTCTCAATAGTTGTTGGTAGGCTAGAGTTTAGGGGATTCTAAGAAATATATATATATATATATATATATATATATATATATATATATATATATATATATATATATATATATATATATATATATATATATATATATATATATATATATATATATATATATATATATATATATATATATATATATATATATATATATATATATATATATATATATATATATATATATATATATATATATATATATATATATATATATATATATATATATATATATATATATATATATATATATATATATATATATATATATATATATATATATATATATATATATATATATATATATATATATATATATATATATATATATATATATATATATATATATATATATATATATATATATATATATATATATATATATATATATATATATATATATATATATATATATATATATATATATATATATATATATATATATATATATATATTGAGTCATAACATGTATAATCACCATTGAAATGCGTAAGTTAACTATACGTGTTCTTTTTTCAATAAGTAGGCATTTTATGTATTTCTTAGTTCTTCAAAATTGGTTTTGCAGTGATAAAATTTTTGTTGTCATGTGTAGATTTCTAAGAATGGCACCAGGAAATCGTAAAACTCAAATTATTTCAAAAGCTGCTCTACAAAGCATGCTTAACCAAGCTGCCAAGGATAGCTCAACCACTGCGTCAGCTCGTATTGGAGTCAGAGAACATCTTAACCAATCAAATGTGTCATCTGCTGGAGTGACTGGAGCAAATCGAACTACTGAAGTCCATCATGGTTCTTCCGGAGAAGGTGATACAACAAATCACACTAATGAGAGTGGCATTCCACAAACCCTTGAAGTTTCCAACCAAAATCAAAATTTGAATGCAGCTGAAGGCTCAACTGGTAACCTTCAGGATACATCAGTCGCAGGTACAATATGTTCATTACTTAGGATAACTGTTGGAATATTTGGAGGTACAATATGTTTTTTACTTAGGATAACTATTGGAATAGTTACTGTTTTCAGTGAATAGTTGCTGTTTTTGTTATTTTCGTTATGTGAACTTTGCTTCTGTTGCTCCAGTGAATAGTTAGTTGCTGTTGGTCTTAGTTGTTGTTGGAATAGTTGTTTCTTCTATTTTCTTTATGTTGGACTTTGTTGATGTTTACTTACTAAGACATGTTTCCATTTTCCCATTTCTTAATGCAAAATTATAGTCATTAATTAATTCTTCTCGTGAAATTGAAAAAAGAGACTTCTAATCAATACACTTGTCTATACTTGTTGAGCTCATCGTTAATTAATTGAGATTCTCCTTTAAATGGTTACTCTTGTACAGTATTATGAGCTAAAAGTAAAAGAAAAAAAAACTGATAAAGGATTTGAAACAAATTAATTTGGTTCTTCATTGGTTTATATTTTGTTTATAATCCCAGTTATCAAGATTTGAACTTTTTTATTTTTATTTTAATATGGGCTTTGCTATTAGCTTCTGTTATGTCCTCCAACTCTTCTTCTTTTAAACTAAGTAGTTACTGAGATTCCATCTGCTGGTGAATTCAGCTGTAACAGATTGTTGAAATAGTTACTGGGATTCCCATCTGTTAAACTGATGGTATGAATTGAGCTGTATCGAGTGGTATGAACAAGAAGATTTTTTGCATCTGAATTTTGTAAATTACTAATCTATTTCAGACTCATACAAGAAGATATATTTTACAAACATAGAATGAATTTCAGGGAGCATAAAGAGCAGACTGCAGAACAAAGCTTATTTAAAATGGATATTTTAGTCCAAATTTCTATTCTTAATTATACACCAAATATAAGTTATTCTTGAAATGAACTTTTACATACAAAAGTTTATTTGATAAGTGCTTCTAAACAAGCTTCTTATTAATATATGTTAGAATTCTATTGATGAATATATTACTAATTATTTATAATAAAATTAATTTATATTTATATTTTTCTATTGTTTTTTCCCATCCGACCACTCTAAATTTCTCTAGTATAATTTTAATTTTGTGTAGTATAATTTAATTATAGAAGTGATAATCATTAGAGGAATTGTGTGAAGTTACTCATTATTTTGGACTGTCGCATTTTGTCCACTTATTCGTCTGTCAATGTTGCACAGTCGCATTTTGATTTATAAATGAGTTAGAATCTTAAAAACTTTGAATGAAATAGTTGCAAGGAATTAGTATATGTGTCCTCTATTAATGAAATGTAATAGAAATGTAGTGTTCTTTGTTACCAGACAAAGCTTCCATCCCTAAGAGAAGACGTGGTCAAACAATGGGTAAGGGAATTATGAAAGCATTTCATGCCTCTGGAAAGAAATTGAAGATAGATGTGGATCCACTTATAGGACGGCCCAAAAGTCGAGAGCAATCTGCAAAGCTCTCAAGTCAAATTGGTGTAGTAGCTCGAGATGTCCTTCCAGTGCCAAGAAAATGGAAAGAAATGGCTGAAGAAAAATTGTTGGAACCAGGCATGGATCATATAAAGGTATTTATTTGAGAAAAAAAAAATGACATGTTTTCTTTTTCTTGTATATGTAAAAATTTGTTAAATGTGATGTTCAGATTCATATGGATGTCAACTTGGATGTACCGGGTGTGAGGCACTGCTTGGTTGATAGGTTGAAATCTAGCTCTCGACAAATTCGTTACAGGTTACATAAGCATTACAAGAAGTATGCAACCCCAGAAGAGGCTAAGAAGAATAAGCCACCATTTTGTGCTAGTAAAGAAAATTGGGACGAACTTTGTGATTATTTTGCATCACCTAAGTTCAAGGTAACATCTCTTGAGATTGGTACTCTTATTGATATATTTTGGGAATATTTCTTATGTTGCAATTTTTTGTTTTCAGCACCAAAGTTCAACTAACACTATGAATCGACAAATGTTAAGGACCCCTCATATATCTGGCAGAACTCCTTTTTCTACTCTTCCACATGAAATTGTAAGTTGTAAACATGCAATTATGTTTTACAATATTTACATGTCCTGTAAAGGTTTATATCTTGTACATTTTATTTTATAAATAGGTTCATATCCTGTACAAATTATTATTATATGTAGGTTCATATCCTGTACAATTATGGGAAGAACTCTGTTTTACAATATTTTACAATTAAGTTTACAATTATGTTTCTAGAAAAAGGTTTGTATCCCATACATTTTATTTTTATTTTTATTCTTTGTTAGGCTGAGAAGAATGCTAATAGAGTTGCTAATGGAGATGCTAATGGAGATTCTGGGGACATAATTGATGCTGGGGACATAATTGAGTTCTACAAACTCACACATTGCACTGACAAACATGGTTGGTCAACTGATGAGGCAAAAGAAAATTGGGTAACTCACACTTTCATATTGGTATTGTTATTTTTCAGATATGTATGATATATGTTTGTAATCCATTAGGAGTTGATGGTATCGAGGCGAGAAAAATATACAGCGGAAGGAGCTGAGAAGACGAACCAGGAAATAGTTCACGAGGTGCTTGGTGAAAGATCTACTTATCTAAAGGGACTTGGTTATCAGACGAATCACTTAAATAAACGCATTTATGCTCCCGCCAACCAATACCTTCAAAAGGAAAAGGAGCTTCAGGAAACTCAAGAAAAGATAATAGCATCAGAATCACGAGTGAGTGAGCTCATGGTACAAGTTAATGACATGAAGAACTTAATGGGCCAACAAGGTGCAGATATTGAAAAGCTTATGGCATTCATGACTTCCAAAGGAAATAATTGAGGTAAACAATTCAATATAACAATGGGGATCATTTTTTATTTTGTGAAAATATGCTTTCATAAATGAAAATATATGTGCTAAGTTATAGGCTTTAAATTTACAGGTGATTGCTGGATGCTTGCTGGATGCTGGTGGATTTACCAAGACTTTTCCGATTATGTGTAATTCAGCAAGATTAGAAAATAAGCCTATGGATTTGGAGATTTATTTCTTAAGTATTTATTTAATGTTTTTTTTAACTTAATATTCCAAGTACTATTGTTTTTGTTTTGAATTACGAATACTTCATATCATTCCTTCTATTGATACTCATTATCTTTAAATATGTTATTTCATATATAATTTATTGGCTAATTGCAATAGTATTATTATGTATTTTTGTGATAATTTTCAATTGGTAACTAAAAGCAATCGTTCGTGACACAACGTATGGTCAAATATAAATTCACGATTAGTGGCATAAAATGGCTTATTTATGACTAATAGTTTGTCACACTAAAGTTCTTTCAAGTGACGGTACATTTGTCATAGATATTCTTTGATTATGACTAATTTATAGTCATTATACCCACATATTTAGTGACAGTTGTCTTTTGTGTCATATACTTGTACTTTTTTATGATAGAATATATCGTCATATTTTTATACACATTTGGTGACGATAAACACCATGTCATATAATACGAACTTTCTATGACTAAATATATCATCACCTTTAATATATTCATCTGGTGACAAGAAATATTTCATCATTAAAACGCACTTTTATGTGACATGTTCATTCGTCATTATAAATATTTTATTGGTGACAAGGAATATTTCATCATTAAAACGTACGTTTATGTGACATATTCGTTCGTCATTATAAATATTTCATTGGTGACAAATACATTTTTGTAACCATAATACAACTCTTTTATGACAAATTATATTATACATGACAAGTCTTATATGGAAATTGAGACAAATTAACCGTCATTATATTTTAATAAAGATGACGATAAAATTATTTTTGTCATTATATGTGATTTTTCAGATGACGAAACCATATATGTTCGTCATATAAAGGCTAACTTTTAGTGACAATTAGATAATTTTGTGACAAACATTTATGATAAATGTGACAAATCAATCGTCACCAATTCTCACAAAGGTACAATGACAATACTATTTTTTATCACAAATACTAAACATTAGATGACAAATTGAAAAAATTGTCATATTGACCTAATATGACGCGGCTACAGTGACAAAGCCAGTGACACTAAAAATTTGTCATAAAAAATACTCGGTGACGAAAATTCACATTTTTATGACAATTTTTTTTGTCATATTTTTTCAAAATTCTTGTAGTGAGTATTGACCTCAGGAAGGTCTAAAAGTAAGAAGGTCAGGAGTCGCGGTTACTACCTGGGGACCTTAGGGTTGTGCTGTAAAAGGGAGAAGAATTCTAGCAGGATGGAAAGTATAGCTTGCTAAGGAGATTTGCCTAGATAAAGATGTGGTAAGCTAGAAATGTAGATTTGGTTGGGTTCTATTTCCAAGCAAGGACTCTTTTCAGCGTCAAGGGTAACTAGGTTCTATGCTCACAAATATCATATATTTGCGCGTTAAGTATACACTTTTCAAGTTTATTCTCTCAAACAAGTTCTGACTTGAGTGTAGGAGGTTTTTCGCTGGACCTCCTCCCAACGTATTGCAGGCTCTAAAGCTCGGAACATAATGAAGTTTGAGTACCGATCAGTTCAATTTGGTCCATGACTTTGACACGTCAACCTGGAGATGCGCGAGCTCTAGAGGCGAGAAGCCAGAACCATTTGTCCGACCCCGTATGCCTTATAAATCTTTCAGAGTCGGCTTAATCAAAATTATGAGATTTTTATCCTAAACTTTCGATCTGTTGCGCTTAGGATTAATTTCTTAAGATTCAACTTGAGAGCAATAACTGACATTTTTTTGTTGAGCCCAACAATTTGTTCTCACATCCATAGTTCCTCAAGTATGCACTTTGTATTTAGAAAATAACCAATTTCCGATAACTAAATATGCACTTTAAAATATTTATGTATGAAGTTAACAAAACACAATATGCAACTGATGTTAACTAAGTATGCATTATGTGTGAATTATATGCACAGTAATGAAACTGACGACCATTCTGAAGACACCGGTGCCGGTTGTAATTCCCCGACCACAAGCTCTCGGCTTTGCTTCATAGACATGAGACTAGACGTCCGAAGAAGACTAAAAGAACATCGTCATGGTCCGGTTTCCAGAGCTCGGTCTGTGTGAATTCACGGGAACGATGGTGGTGGGCACCACCAATAAAGAGGAGACAAAGAGGCGATGGTGGTGGCAAAGAAAAAATTTCGAAGAGAGGAAGACCGAATGGTGTGTAGAGGAAAAGAAATTGTTGTTATGATAGCTGTGTTGGGTTCGATAGTAATGTACGGGCTATACGCAGCGGAATTTAAAATTTTTAAAGTAAGTATTTATCGTATAAATACAACACCCGTACATACTAATTGCGAATTAACTGATCGTCATCTTTAAAACATGCATCATATACAAATTTTGATTTGTTACTATAAAGTAAATACTAGTAAAAATATTTACCGAATTTCTTGAACTCCTTCACTATTGATGATGGATGAGGGAATCGGTTCCCGGTTGT